ATATGTGAAATAAATTTCATATGAAACGGGATTATTTGACATAAGAAGATTCTTGACGATTTTAGAATTAAAAACAAAATATTGAAAGTGTTTTAAAATTATTTATCACCTTTTAATAATACAAATACATAACGATTCATTTAAATGACTTTCAGCTTGATTTTTCGTGGTCTTAAAAAAACCCATTTCTTTCTGATTTCACTCATTTTAGTATTTTGTTAAATTTCAATAATCGCGTGAAGTGTATAAGAAACTGTTTCTAATTTGCCATCAAAAGTAATATATTTAATCTGTTCTCGCATTTTCTGTTCTTTTAAATATAAACTGAAGTACAGTTGCCTCATTGAACTCATTATTTTGCTATAACCGAAACAGTAAGAACTTTTACATACCGAAGCGGTCATTATACTCGAAAACAATAATATATCCAATAGCAACCCGTTAGAGCAGTTGGATGTAAAGCAGTAGGCCTGGTCTCTATGCCCAGTCGGGATAAGAGTTCATTGAACAATTTGAACACGAATTAATTAATTTTTTATTACTGTTAATGATGTTTCTATTGACAAATATGAAAACTCCAAGAAATATTATAGTAGTTGTCCCCAGAAAGATACTATATTATTAGTGATATGATTTTGCATTTAAATTAATAATATTAAATACGTTATTTTCAATATTATAATTAATTCTTTGAAGAGTAAATTACTTAATAAGAACGATAATTATTAATAGTAAATGGGAAAGATTACTGAAGGTATCAAACACGCAATACAATGTATATAGCTTGCAATCCAATTAATAAAGTTTGAAAACAGTTTATAATTTCTGGAAGGTAAATTGAAAAAATTCCATTATGATTTTTTCAATTCTAAACGTAGGTTTCTTTTAAACTTATTTCATTTATTATTATTGAATTATTTCATATTTATATGAAATTCTTTAGTTTCTTTAAATTTCTCATTTCTTGCCCTAGAATTTGATTTATATTGTTCCGATTCACTTGAGATCGAAATGCGTAAAGAACACATAGCAAAAACATTTGCCATAAATGAAACTGACGTACCACAGCTGCAGTAATCACTGTATCCATGCCTGTTCTGTTTTGAAATTTAGATCTATACTGTAGAAACATCTCTCCTTCCCATTACTACAACCATCAATGAGGGCATGATGGCAGAACAAAATGCATCAAGCGGTTCCGGTCGCGAAACTACAGTTTCCAACCTCTCTCCCCCCCCCCCATCCATCGACCCTTCATCGGCCCTTTGCAGCGCTGCTCCCGATACGCGGCCGTGACGTCAGAACTAAGTTTACAATTGAAAACTGAGCAAGAGCAGTTGCAGCGTCGGCGCCATGCCCGGAGAGGGTTAGGTAGTAAAGATGCTGGCGATAGAACGATCTTTATTACAAGAGCTATAAACCCTCTCAGCAGATACAGCAGCTCTCATGGCGTCCGCCGCCAGCGAAGCCACGCCCCATCTTCTGACGTTGTACAACTTGCGCAAAGTTTTAGTTCCAGTGCCGTGGAAGTAGTGAATATCACACGGCGCCGCCCTGGTGCTAGGAATCAGGTCGCGGTTAATGTACGATCGCCCAACGGCACTTTGTGTCTGATGGGCACTTAGAAATATCTTCAAAACATCGTTCATATTCTCATATTCGCCTTTTGTTGTTCGAATACTACAAACTATAATTTTGCTCTATTGTGATGCTATTCAGTGTGTTTGTTTCATTTCACAGAACATATGTGAAGAAATAATAATATTACTTTCAAAAATGTTTGTTTAGAACTAACGCATGTTATTATTGTCTTTTAATGATACGTCTTTCAAACATAATAATAACACCTTTGGTATTTTTTTTTCGAACGTAAATAACTTCTATTTTGTAGAACACAAAAGCACAACACTCGTAGATATTTAATGCTTCTTGTTCCCGGAGGAAACGTATAGAAATAATATGAGAATGAATTGTGAGAATGTGCATTTGCTATTTCACCGTGTATAAGAGAGATATATACAATGCGAATGGATACTTGCAATAAAACTAAAAAAGGAATCAACTGAAAAAGTGCTATTATATAAATAACATAAACTAAGGAAGCGCAATTATTTTTCTGCAGATGAGTTAATCGGATACTTGATGCTGTTTCTAGAAGAAAAAATCGTCTATTAATTTTGCGAAAACATTGACGTGGTAATCATTAACGAAAATTTATGATGTATTACACTTCTGGGGATTACTTAGAGAAGCTCATCCCCCATCTCCGAAATGGATGGTTTCATGTTTTCTGTTCCAGGGGACAATATAATACTTCCATGCTTGCATACTTACTCACTTGCACACTTACATAACATCGACTAATATCTAATAACATTAACTAATATCGACTTCAATCGATTCAATATGAAAGTCAACGTGATAGACGAAGTAATTTACTACATATTGGGACAAGATTTAATCTTTTTCGCAACGAGGGTCTGGAGTAATAGTTTTTCAGGCGCAATGCTGCCGATTACTGGTGCACGATTACAATACGGACTTTTTACGAATCAAGGCCAAAAATTAAAAAATCAAACAAAGGAAAAAAACAATATAATTGTTAACTGAATACCATATTTTGAGCCGTAGCATAGATAAATACAGTGTAGCATTGTTCCAATAGACTCTAACTGAAGAAATGTTTACTATTTGCTTTACTTTTGTTTTTCATTTGGCGGCAAGTTTCATAATATATTGAGCTACGAAAGATAAATACCCTTTTATAACCATATAAGAATTGCATTATGATTGCCGTACATTTATCAAATATTTTTTCTCCACGTCATTTCCAAACCTGTTATATTTTCCAAACAACTTTTAAGTACAATTAATTGTAATTAAACTTGTACTTTTTAGTGAATTATTTTTTAATACCAACTACTTATCCCAAGCCAGCCAACATAAAAATTGCAATGTAGTCTCTCAAACTTCGTAACGGATATCAATGTCTGGCAACATGAACAGGTATCTGTTAAAACAAAAAAGTCTAACATGGATGCGCACATATACTCTTATTCAAAAAAGAGCACGCACCTCCCAATGACGGCAGTGAAAAAGGAAGCCTTCGTCGTAGACGGTAGTTGCGGGCGGAGCGGCACCAAAGAACGCGTGGGCTGGCTCGCCGCGGGGCGCGCGCTCACCACTCGCAACTATACGGAGCACAACGCAGGGCTCGTGAATGGATAAAAAACAATGGTGAATAATGGGGTTGTTAAGCAAATAAGAAAATAAAATAATTACGTAATGGAGAAGGAAAAAGAAGTGAAAACAAGTAAACGAATGAAACAAATAATAGCAAGCGAATGAATACGTAAGTGAATGAATGAATGAATACGCAAGCGAATGATTGAAAATGCAAGCGAATGAATGAAAATGCAAGAGAATGAATGAAAATTCAAACGAATGAATGAAGAGGCAAACGAATGAATGAAAATGCAAGCGAATGAATGAAAACGCAAACGAATGAATGAAATGCAAGCCAATAAATGAAAATTCAAGCAAATGATTGAAAATGCAATCGAATGATGAAAACGCAAGTGAATAGGAAAACAATTAAATGGAAAATGCAAGCGAAAGAAAAAAGAAAGAAACGTGAAGGAAATAGGAAGTGAAAGAAATCACAAGTGAAGTGGAAAGTGAATAAATCAATTCAATATTACAATAAAATAATCAACTAATATTACGAAACGTGCTAATATAATAAGATTTCTCCACGATACTTTTTAACATTAAGTTGTGAAAGAGGATGAAATCATCGATAATTTATTCCATTCCTTGTGTAAAAGACACATTAGTGCATTTGGGTGTTTCTAATAATCAAGACCACGACATCATTTAATAATTATGTTGGAGAAGTAATTATAATATCACTGAACGTTTTGAAAACGCCCCCTATGCCCCTTCAAGAAGAGAGGAAGATCAAAATGAACAAGGTGAAAAGAAGATGGTTGATCAAGATGTGAAAAATAGAAATTAAGGAAAATTGAGAAGGGAATAAGAGGATGAGGTGGAGACGAGGTGGAAGAGGCGAAGAAAATGAGGAGGGGGATGAAGAAATAAAGATGAATATGAGGACGAAGTAGAAGAGAAAGGAACGAAGGAGAATAAGAAAAAAGGACAAAGGTAGTAGAGGAATAAAGTATGATCATTATATTATTTAATTGAGATTTCTGACATTAACATACATTCCTAACTAATGTTTGTACACTAGCCTAGTGATAAGTGTTTGGCTGCCACTGGGAATCCATGGGGCCTTGCCCCCCCACCACCAAAAGTTCAAGACTTTTCGTTTACCTTCCTTTATTTCGCAACATTTGATTTAAATATTCTTTATGTTCGAATTAAGTAATTATTTAAACAATAATATTATAATATAGTGTAGTATAGTATTATATCTACAGAACATAAATAGTATACAATATAATAACAAACATGTGTCATATTTACCAAAAAGTCTACGATGGCACCCCCCCTCCCAAAAAAAAAACAACGATCGGCTGGATCCGCCTCGTTGGCAGCACTGTGGAGCGCGGGGCGGCGCAAGGCAGAGCGAGGTGATTGAGAGGCCGCTCGTCCCAAACGGCGCCCGCGGCGGGGCTCGAAATCGCAAAAAGGCGCGCCGCCTGTCCGCTCGCCCGCCCGCGTTTCCGCGTTCCGCCGGAGCGGTGGGTCCGGGCGGTGGCTCTCCGCGCGGGCGTCGCCTGAATGAAACCGCTCTTGTTTTCGCTTCGGTAGCGTAGGGCCCGGTTGCAGGGCGCTCTGGGCGGAGTGACCTTTACGTGTGTTCACGGCGCAGCGAGAGTAATGAGGTTCACCAGGCCCAAAGGTAGAGGTGGATCAACATCCCATACCATTTAGGTACAAAATTTCCGCACAGAGGCGCAAAACCCATTATCTGTCAGTTAAGAAAAGTGGTATACACAGAGAATAGTCCATTTTTATTAGTAAAAATGTCAGAAATGCAGTCGGTATGTAGGGTAAAATATCACAAGACAATTTAGAGTAAAATGTCACAAGGCAGACTGTATTCAGAGTAAAATGTACCAAGGTAGACTGTATTTAGAGTAAAATGTCACAAGGCAGACTTTATTTAGAGTAAAATGTCACAAGGCAGACTGTATTTAGAGTAAAATGCCGCAAAGCAGACTGTATGATAGAATTTTACGGAGATAATTTTCTTGCGCTATACGATTTTTTTGCTGCATTAATTGTTTACGTAGAATCTCTTGAAGAGAGGCAGTGAGATGAGACTTTTTCTTACGATTAAGCGTACGTTTTTTCTGGAAACCCCTTTTTTTTCTTTTTAAAGTTTTTTTCTTGATATTTAAAGCCCCGTGTAATACGCTGGAGACAACTATTTTCTTATCAACTATGCTTGTTTGGCAGCAAAACAATCTCTGCTATAACATTATTTGTTTAAATGAGTTCCATATTTCTTCTACGTTTTCATACCATTGCGATTCCAAGCCGTAGTTCCCTAATAGAGTATTCTAACTTTTGTGCACAGCACGATGTACTGAAATAATATGTTTTCTGTGTTTTTCGAGTACCCTTGGTTCCTGCCAAGCCACCTGCAAAAGCCGCACGCTCGTGTCATTTATATATGGTGTTTTTTCTTGAGCTATCAACATCTGCTCGGGCGAACTAAAAATACGTCAAGCACCGGGCGCTAGCTTCTTGTAGGAAATTCAACTACGTGAGTTAATCCGTTGTCCAAACGAGTTCGTTGAACGAGGGATTGCGTCATTGCTTCTTTGTGCATCTACACACTTGCCACGATATATCGGTAATTAGATTCCACCAATTAAGAGATTTCCTAAAGTAAGCCCGCGATTTTTACTTATTTCTACTAATTTATGTACTGCTGATCGAGTTCTCGTTAGGAGGCACGATATACCGCAACTATATTTAAGTCGTATTGGTTCCCATTCCGTCGCGTAACTGAACACTTAATAATTCATGTACATCATTTGTCATTA